GAAACAGCTGAACGTCACGTGAGGTAAATATGCGCTACGTCAGAATTTATTCAGCAAACGTGTTTCCATCTCCCGTTTTGTGCAAAAACGACTTTGCGAATCATCCAAAAAACACCTCAAGCGAGCGTAAAAACTTTTTGGCTAATTGAGGATTTTTTTTTCGAATTTTGCTGTTTCCATCCGACTTTTTTTCTCATTTTTAATGCGACACTTCTAAAAGCCTTGATGGAAACACGGTTTATAACAGGTAAAATGTTTACTGTTCATGGACAGAACCCAACTTCAGCAGACCTGAACAGTCTTAACAGAATAAGAATCTGTTTCCATGTGTTTTTGTTAGCATTTAGCTTTCAGCACCATGTTTCTGTTGAACATCAAATGATTTTATTTGAACATTCTTACACAGTCAGGAGATCAAAGGACCTTTTCTTCACAGAGGACAGGATGAAGCAGTTCTTTGTGTCTCTCACACATACATCTGTGTGTTTTAAATTGTGTGTAAATAAAGCGTTTACCTTCCTGCACATCAGGGTCCCACCGCAGGTCGGTGGATAAAACTCTTAATGTTGTGTTTTTGTAAATCCTGCCACTGATGATGATGATGATGATGATGATGATGATGTTTTCAAAAAGAATAAAACTTTTCTACATTGTGAAATGTTTCAATGATGTCATTTTATGTTCCTGGAGAACTCCCTCATAATGAAAACCATCCTTAGTTACAGTCAGATAAATGGTTGAGTGTGGGGAAATGAAACATTTCTCCTGGGAGCTGAAGATTAAAGATTTATTGTGCATAAATGTTAATGTGGCTGAGCCCCACCTTCCTGCTGATTACTGATGAGGTAGTAAAACATGACGTGTGAACCTGACTTATTTAATGTAGACACTGATTAGCTGTCTGTGAGCAGCAGTAGCTTCAGGCTGCCTCTGCAGGGCAGAGCTGGGAGGTTCTTAAAGTTCGGTTCTGACCCGGAAGAAAAACACGGATTTTAGCGTCTGAATGAACCAAAGTCCACCTCCTGCAGAGACACAACAGGACTGTGAGGTCCAGGTCCACGGGCTGCAGACAGAACCGACCCGAACAACAACAGCACGGTAACAGAAAGCAGATTTATAAATTAATTGAAGTAAGGGTGCCGTGAAGGACAAAAAGGACTCAGGATGACTTCACCATAAACTGTGTGTCCTCGTTTTAACACAAAGCTTTGGATCAAATTAAAACCAGAAAATGATTTGATGTTTTTCTGTCATATGAGACATTTATTATTTACAGACTCAGTGAAATAAATAAGATTCATGTTTTAAGTGAAGTTGAACACAAACATCACGTGATGAGTGAACAGTTGTGTTTTCACTGAGTCACTAAAACAATCAAGTTTGAGTCTGACGTGTGTACATGTACACAACTCCACTGGTTCACATAATACTTTTTTAACATGCAAACTATTTATTTCTCTGGCAGAGCTGTAAAGTAACCAAGTACAAATACTTTGTTACTGTACTTAAGTAGAAATTTTGGTTATCTGTGCTTTACTTCAGTAATTATGTTTCAGCGTACTTTTTACTTTTACTTATTACATTTTTACACAATTATCTGTACTTTCTACTCACTACATTTTTTAAAAAGGTAAGAAGTAGAAAGTTGTTACTCCTGTTTTATTCTGAGTTGTTACTTATAAAAATCCTCTCCTGATAAACTGTGTCTCCTATAGAGTGAATTTAATTGTGTTTGGATAAGAAGTATAAATATGTGAGCCGTCACATCGAAACCAGGATTAAGTCCAAAAGTTGTATCAGGAGAAAAAGGCAAATATAGTGTTTTGACTAAAATG